CCACTGTTTCTAAAACAAGCCATAGAAAGTTGGTTGCAATTTCAATTTAATCCTCCAGAAACGACAGAACAAATAATGCAACAAATATTGTGGTTAAATTCAAATATACTAATTGACAAAAAAACTTAATTTTTTGACAGAATGTTTAAAAAAGGTATACTCTTCGTAAATTATATCATCAGTAGGACTGGTGGAGTTATGTCGCACATGCAGCTAACAAAAACATATGGAAATGTCTGCTCTACCCAAAATTACAACCAAATAATTGCAGCCTTACCGCAAAAGTGGAAGAGGAAAGTGGAAGGGGGAGAAAGTAAGGAACTTGTCTGTCGGCCTTGCATTAAAGAACATAATTGGTTAAGGAAAACTGTGATACATAAAAAAGTATCAGTTTCACTTAAGGACAAAAAAAAAACAAATAAAATAGAATTATTGTAAAATTGACTGTCCATAAGGTGTAGATAGTAAGTATAGGCTGGAAGTAGAGGCCTGGGCATTGTTGTTCACTAATTTACCCCAAGTAGGGAAAGGATGGCGGGGTTGAAAAGTAATAAAGGGGAGTATATATATAAAAAAACATGGGGGTTTGGAAGTGATGCAGACAATTACATTGAAAGAAGTTACAATCTATCTGCAATATTAAGCTGATCTACCCCCATTAAAAATAAAGGTTAGGGATACTTACACACAGTGGTTTCAACTGATATATTTGAAATACATGATTACATTATGCATGTTCATTTATGCAGTAATTATTATTCAACATGTCCTCATCTGGTATTTGAACTCACAACAGCTTGGTTCACCGCATTCAGAACTTCCTGCTACGCCCCCATGTCTGTCAGTTATCAGTTCATTTGACTATTCTCTCATCATTGATTTGATTTACTTATTTCAACAATTTAAAGGCCTTTTGTATAGTTAGTTGTCTAATGTTGGTGGGCATATTAACCTGGTTTAATGATACTCCTGAATAACTATGATCAATAATAGTTTTTTCTTGTGTGTATTTGTACAGAGCTGAGATTTACTACAAAGTGCATTCACCCTATTGCGTACACCTATCAAGTTGTTTCATATCTACATAAGTGCCTAGAGTTTCACTTGTGTAGATCTGAAACAGCTTGATAGGTGTAAGCAATATGGTGAATCTCAGCTCTGTTAAAAGTGGCCTGGGTTCGAGACCTACTAGGGGTTGTGAGAGCAGGGTGACTCCCCTAGTAGGTCTCAAACCCAAGCCACCAGCACCAATGACCAACGCCCTAACCACTGTCCCAATAAGGGATATCTCTAGTACTAATAATAATTACTGTATAAATTAACATGCACAATGTAATCATGTGTGTCAAATGTAAGTTGAAAACACTGTTAAAATCAGTGTGAGTGAGTATCCCTAACCTTGCCAACAGACAAAGAGCTATGAATGGATCAGTGGTTCACCAATTAGGGCCATGACTGGCTCGGCAACAGTAACAAGACGTGATGTGTAATACATTTTTCTTTGGACACAAATGTTCTTGCAATGTTCCCATGAAAATTATCTAGAATATTAACAGGTTATGTTCTGAGAACATGGCAACCATGTTCTGTGTATGTTTGGTGGGACATTGATGGAATATTCTCCTAACCCACAGAAAATTTGACACATTGTTTTTTGCCTCATTCCCATGAAACGTGTCAAGAACATTAATATCTTGTGTTCTGATACCCAGAACGTGGTTACCATATTTAACATTAAGGGAATGGTCACTTGGAGACATTCCTTGCACATCACGGAATCATTCCTATTAAAATGTTAGTTAATGACGTAATGAGACTCTTAAGGGTACGTTCTCTAAAGTTGTGGAAATGTTTGTCGTTAGCTGGGTGCTCCCTACACCTTGTGGAATGCTAAAGGATAGGCCAAGGACTGTAGAGCACATGTTCTAGGGTTCAAGGACAGTGGTCCTTTAGTAGTTTTGGAAATCCCAGACCTAGGACACATTGTTTACATTGTGGGAGGGAACCTGTCTGCCTAGGTAGACTAGTCCTTTAGGGACTACTGGGGCTGTAGGGAGAGAGGGGCCATCTTAGCTGTAACCTTAACTTGATTGACCAGCACGTGACATGAGATTATATTTTTTTTTATTAAAAGCATAAAACATGGTTAGGGTGACTTTTAAAGAACTAGTGGATGTGACAAGACCCCTAGATAGAATTACTATGTGCATGTGGCAAATGGTCTGCAGTTAAAATGCCTCGCTGCTGATGAAAAATGCAACCATGTTCAGTGTATCTTTGGTGGGACGTTGATGGAATAGTCTCCTAACCTACAGTCTTGTAAAAATGCCATGGTAGTAGAAAATTATACACAATGTAGAAGCAGATTGATACAGCATAGTGGAATGCCTGACCGATCGAACTTGAACAGTCTTTCCTCCATGTTGTTCATGGTGAGTGAAAGCAATCCTACTGTATTGAATAAAGATTTGACATCTTAATAGGTGCTTGTTTGAGCATGGTGAGAAATTGCAAGCTGGCCAAGTAGATGAGAACACACTCATTTAATCAAGCAGCCATCTAGTCAGGAATAGAAATGTGGTTACCATGTCATGATGTTCTCACAGATTATTAATGTGCCAGAGGGATAAAACATTTAATTGAATATCAAGTCATCCCAAGCAATTATTTTATTATTATTTATTATTAGGATGTAGCAAAACAAAATGGTTCATAATGTGTTCTGCTACGATTTCCAGACCGAATCTGTGGTATTCCAAACGGTTTGACAAAATACGCATGTCAAGATCAAGTCTCAATCAAGACAGAAATACGTTGTACTGTACATTGAACTTTTATTTTCAAAGGGAAAATATATAACTTCAATAAATACTGTGGAAACACAGACATACAAATGGACTAAACATTTTTTTTTAAGGTTGATGTTCTACAGCTAACACATTCTGAACTTTAATTTAACATTTTTCATACAGAGAGCATAGGCTACACCCACTAGCTGATATACTGCCTTGGGGGGGCTATTCTGAAAGCAGTTCAACAGACTTCTCCAGTTATATGAGGAAAACACCCAAGTACTTACTATGCTGCTGAGAGAACTTAAGACTAAAATTTGTAACTGAAAGATGTATATCTAGTTTAACAGCAACTGCTTGGAGAGGATGGAGGGAAAGGGGGATACCTATTCAGTTGAACAACAATGCATTCATGTGTTTTCTGCATTTAACCAAACACCTCTGAATCAGAGAGGTGCGGGAGGCTGCCCTAATCGATGTCCACGTCTTCAGCACCTGTGGAACAGTTGTTGTTGGGGGTTAACTGCCTTGCTCAAGGGCAGAACGGCAGATTTGTTCCACCTTGCCGGCTCGGGGAGTCAAACCAGCGACCTTTCGGTTATTGGCCCAACGCTCTTAGCCACTAGGCTACCTGCCGCCATGAGCTATAGCTGCGGGCTAGTTCTACTTAGCTACTTGACTTAGCCTACTGCCGCAGTGAACTAGTCACATCCATGATCAAATACCAGTTGTATTTGAATCAAGAGTAGGCTACGAATGTGGTGCATCTGCACCAGAAATGAACAGTCTGAGTAAGATGTAGCCTGCCCTAGCTCTCCACACAGAAATCATTAACAGCGCTGTACAGTTCTTGAACCAGCAAACACTGATAACTAGACTTTGGTCTTTACAGACCATTGCCCTTCTTGGAGTTCGATAAGAATCCTCACATTGCATAACTGAGGACATCCTTGAAAATATCTGTGCAATGATGGTCTTCTGTGTCAATAACCAAAGCTCAGTGGCTTGCTCAGCACTGGCCATGTTTAACCCCTTAGTTAAACTTGGCTGGCATGGGTGTGTACTGTGCACCCACACATGTACTGAGGCCCTGGCATCGCCGGAGATATGGGCAGCACAGCTGAAGTCATCCCAGTGACAGAAGAGCGGGGGTGTAGGATATGTCCTCAAACAGAGATACTGTACCACGTCCTTCAAAATCATTGGTCATGATCTTTACACAGCCTATCACAACCGTCGTTGGCAGAGTGCTACTTCGTGAGCGATTCCAATGCTCTGTCAAGCTTTACTTTGGTTGTAAATGATAACAGCAAAACAACAAAGGGGTCAGACTATGCTGAGGTTTAAAAACAGCGCTAGAACGATATGCAAAGGAGTACAACACAGAAAAAAGGCTTTCAGATCTTTCGTAACAGTGTGCAACAGCTTATAACAAAACAAACATCCCATTTCCATTTGGCAAACTCATAAAAGGCAGTAACAAAAGAGAAAAGGGGGAGATAAACTCAAACATGGGCAATGTGAACAAACCACAGTGTTTTTCTGTCCTTTAACTGCTTTGTAAGTGCCAGACCCAGCAGCCAGTGCAAGAGATCCATTTGTCTTCTTAAATCCATTTTACTGTAGCAGAATCTCACTTCTAAACAACAATCTTCTCACTCAGTGCTGAATCCACCACCGTACACCCCCCCCCACCTTCACATTTTCTTTCCGAGGACAAAAGTAAAACCCGACACCACTTTAGCTCATTTCCTGTCCAGATCCCAGACCCAAAAAGGTTATGGTGTCATTTACTGTACCAAAAATGTTCCTGGGGTAAAGAAATCTTGAGAGGACTGACAGAATTCAGCATGTCTTCCTCCATCTCTTTCTTGTAGTTTACGTGAAAGGGTTGTTGAACATTTTGGCCTTAAAACTAAACCAATTCTGAAGCCTCAGATGGCCTCCAGTGTCCGGTTTCCTTCAGTCTCTTTGGTGAACGTCTATGGCGCAGAGTAGGGCAGCTTGATGTAAGTTTGTACGTTTTAGGTCAATCCAAACCAGTGGAGAATCTGATTTAAAAGTGCAGAGCTAACTCGCCTTCTCACTGCTTTGCCTGTGTGTCTAGGAGGGGGAGGGGCTCTATGCACAGTGTCCAGTCCCCATCACCTGCCTGCTCCTCCAACAGTCTACATCAGTCAGTCTCCCTACCCCAACAACCAATCACATTATTGTACAGCTCTTGGCCTTGTCTTTGCGCAGGTCTGACGTGACAGCGGTGAGTTCGGGCCTACTGGGCACGTGCGAGATCCTCTTGGTGCTCCTGGAGGACTTGTTGCGTTTTATGTTCTTGTTGCTCTTGTTGACGCAGGCCAGCGTGGCCACGTGAAAGATGTCTCTGACGCTGTTTTCAGACTGCAGGGACGAACACTCGATGTAGGGAGCACTGATCTGCTTGGCCATGTTGGAGCCCTGAGAGAGAATAACGCCACGAGATCAGTCTGGAGATCTGTCTTTTATCGTTATTCATAGCTGGTATTCAGGTATCACATTTCATAATACCACATTAAGGCATATAGTACTAGCCCAATAATAATTCAAATAACATGTCCACATCGTCATCATCATAGTGAGTGTCAAAGTATGAGCAAAATGCATGTAGCGCCTACCTGATCGTATGACACGGGTGTCTGTCTGTGATTGGATAGTTCCACCAGTGTGGTGAGGTCTGTGCGGAGGTCTGACTTGCATCCCACCAGCAGAATCTTTGTGTTGGGACAAAACTCCTGGATCTCTCCTCGCCACTATGGGGGGAAAAAATTAAGAAAGAAATCAGCAACACTTCTAGTAAACAGGTGTGCTTTTACAGGGTTGGCTAATATTCAGTGTCAGACATCCTAACATGAGATTTGCATGCATAACCATTGACTTTCGCAATGTCACATTGTGAGTTATGCACCCAGATCTCAAGTTAAGATTTGGGCCTAAAATAGTTAGACAAGTGCATAAAGTGCTGCATTGATGGACACTGGAGCTTTCCCAAAGAGTCAACCACCCACACACCCACTTGTTATCTTCATATAATGCGGTCATCTGTGAAAACAGTCACTGACAGCGCCAGCTCTGTATCGCACAATTTAAGTAATGGAAAACATCCTCTTCCACTTTCCCAGGCTTATTCGGTGCCTTGAATTACTGGTCTCCTGCTCTCATTTCCCCTCGCAACAATGCCCAGTCTGATCAATGTGTGTGTGGTCCAGAGACTGGGGCACAGTCTGGTGATTATGTTCTCTCCAGAGGAAGGATAACTCCCCCTCTCACTGGACCAAACTCCTCTCAGCTGGCACAATACCGAGCCCTAGTGTCATCACAGGTCAAAGGGCACCGAGACCCAGAGTAGCCATGCCTGAGATACCACATGTGAACAAGGCCTTTTGGACTACTTCTCAGCCTCATGCGAGTGTTTTCACATTTCTCCCAGTCTCCTTTCTCAATAGTACGACCTTAGGTGTCCTCTCTTGCATTGGTATGGCCCTAGTTCTAATCTCCTCTCATTGGTACAGCCCGGTGCAGTAATTTTCATCAGTGCGGTTTTTCAAAAGCCACTTCACCCAGTAACACAAGCCTTTTCCGAGAGGGTCAAGGGGGCAGAGTGAAAATGATAGTGGGACAGGTCACTTAACAATTCAGGGGCAAATCAGAGGAAGCTTACATCTTAGAGGACATACTGTATACGAAACTCACCTTCTTCAGTACACTGTCCAGGGTGTCTGGTCTGCTGATGTCAAAGCAGATGAGGACTGCATCAGAGTCTGGGTAGGAGAGAGGTCGCACATTGTCATAGTACGGAGATCCTGCAAAAACACAATAGTAAAAACCTGGTCAAAAATATGCAAATTAGGCCAAATAAAGAACTGTAAGAAATCACACATCTCAGCTCTGCACTGTATTTCTTATAATCAACTAACATTTGTTTAGCTCAGATAACTAAAATGTGTTTAGTTCCAGACCAAGATTTTATACTGTAAATGTTAGAATGACCCAGGGAAAGCAAACTTTCTCCCTGACACCATTTCACTGTACTCTGTGTGAGCCGGCACCTCGGGACATCCATAAATTACTACGCTCGTGTCATCATTTCAGCTGCACTGCCCGTGGTCCCGCTCTCTCCCTGCTTGGTGCTCTGGCCTCCATTCATACCCAGCCCAGAACCCACACAGTCAGAATTAGGACAGGAGACATCTGTAATATGGAGCAGATCGAGAGGGGGGTTTCTCAGATTACGCTAACCAATTAGTCACTCCCGTCCCAGGTCACTGCTGTACATCAAATATCCAACGGCAGTTTTCCCACACAGTGTCAAATCGCTTGACTGTCTTGCTACATAGTATGCAGCTGGGTAACTGTGATTAGGAGCAGCTTGGATTGGATTTAATCTAATTTGCTGGGTTTGCGTTCTAAATTTGGAATTATACATTTTTAGCAAGTCTTTGAAGCATCTTTCCACGTGCATTTTAATTTCCTAAATTCTACTGCACAGCGCATGCTAATATAAATTGTCCGGAGTCGCTGCCAAAGAAGTCAAGCAAGGAGGTGGTATGCCAATCTGGCAAACTATGCATCTGATTAACAACCCATGTAAAAAGCAAGATGATGCATGAGATTTCGCAAACTGAATTTGGAAAAGCACACAGTGAGCCTGTAGTGACTAAATATCACATTAAAGTCACATAGAAACCCAACAATACATTTGCAGACTGATGACTGGCAGCGGAACATCTGAGCTTCCACATTCGGAATGCTATGCCAATGCCAGGAATTCTAGGAATTGTGTTTTTTTCCAGATTATGTGTCTGAGAGATCCTTTGAGAACTACACTGACAGTTCGGTATTCAATGATGACAGCTCAAGGAATTGTTTCCAGCGATGGGGGGGGTGGGGGTTATGGTAGGAGTGAAGTCTTATTCTGTCAAAGGAATGTAGATTAAATCATAAAGCATTTAATGCATTGACAGGAGCATTTCTCCCCCTCAAAAACATTAATTCTGAACTTGATTTTTTACGCTCCAAAATGGCTGTTTTCATGTTTAGCAGATAATCGGCGTGGGCCAGGTCAGTTCTCTGTAAGCATGGAAAACACATGGCCGGAATGTTACATCCAATTTAAACTTACATTTACCTGAACAGCAAGTAATGCCAAAATCGTATTTGTTTGTACCGAGTAGGCCTAAGATCTTCTCCAGCATATGATGGCCAAATCTACACTGACAAGATTAACAAATTGTAATGTAACTGTCTGTGTGACTATGTAATTTAACTGGTCCCACTGAACTATGGGACTGCTCATCGATCAGGTAGAGAATGAAGATACTAATATTTAACAGTAAATAGATTCACCCAAAAGAGTATACATTGCATCATGGAGACTGTTTCCTCAGTCAATTGAACAATCAGACAACCAGTGTAGTGAAAAATCTGTCGATGTGCCCTTGAGCAAGGCACTTAACCCTAATTGCTCCTGTAAGTCGCTCTGGATAAGAGCGTCTGCTAAATGACCAATTATTTATTTATTTATTTATTTAGTGATGACACCGGGAACGGGGAGGAGCCCAGAGAAGGAAAGTTACTGCTTTTTTACGATTCTGCTACCGAATCGACTAGCAGTCACTTTGGGGATACAGACACCCTTATACAGAAGCCCAGGAAAAGGAAAGGACAGGATGGCCATGCTGACGGACTGACAGAGACAGCTCATTAGCCCCATTTCACTGTAGCCCTGAGGCCTTGTTCAGTCCCCTGAGCCAGCCAGACGCCCACACACCCATCTCCTCCTTACCCTTCCCTCTCTACCCCCTACTGTGAGTAAACACCCCCGCTATCAGACTGAATTAGCCATTCTGACGGAACTATTCTGAGGGCTTAAAAAGGAGATCCCAGTTGGAGTCCATAAAAAGACAGGCTACCACAATGCTTCTGACAAGCACAAAGACAAGGGGATGTCTTCCTTTATTCTTCCCATTCCTGATGAGGACAGAGCAGAGACCAGCTCAAAACAGAACTACTGCCCCCCACAAAAGGACAGTGACAGCTTCATCTGTTTCATATCCCATGCACTTGTGAGGGAATAAGACCTAGGGGCTACAGTGCTGTCTGTGTAAACGGATATAGAATAGTGAGGGCATGGATGACCCCCCTCCTCTCAGATCACTAGAATGGAACTGTACATTAATCTACAGACATGGAGGACTTGTTTTCAAACAGTGAGTGGGTCCTCCAGGGAACTCTAAAAGGTAACTTTGTCCTTGACTGGTGACATGGAGACATCTTTCACAGAGGGAATACCTCTAAAAGAACGATCACTCTGCCTATGCATTTATGGCTGTCTGACTTGATGTGAAGTGGGTTGCTAGGCTACTCACATAAAAAAGGGGATGTACTGTACAATGCCATTTGTAGAACCCCACCAGATTCTTGGCTTCCGCGTGGAACTGCCTTGTTTTACGTATTTAAACAAATCAGAGAGAATGGAAAAGTAACAAAATCATTGAAAGAACATTGAGGAAAAACCTATTGGTGCATTGAATCACAACTTCAGTCTGGTTTCAAACAACTAAAAATGTGAGAATGTTTTGCTCAAAACACAGGCTGAGTTTCGAAAACAAGCTTTAAAAAAACTTAAAAATAAAAAAAACTCAGCATTGCAAACAATGGGGTCTTTGTGAGGAGAAAGATGCAGTCTTGTGAATGGCATGCAAGACATGCAGCTCAAATTCTCTCAACCGAGATGCATGAGCTCTGCCAGTGCCACTATAGCAGAGAGCAGCCCAGCCACATCAGTCAAGGGCTGAACTACCAAAAACAATGAAGTGACAATAAAGAACATCATGAAGACACTTAAAAGACAGGAAGACCGACAGGCCTAAAAAAAAGGTGGTCCTTCATCTCTTCAGAGACATCAAGAAGCTGCAAGCAAGTGGGGGCATTGACAGACACTGTCCGCTACACCTTACCTGAACAACAGCTCTCTCCTCACCTGCCCCACAGGCAGTCTGACCTCATCCTCCAATAGGTAAATTACCAGCCTGAGGGGCATCTACATGAAACACAACAGGGGTGGATGTCTGTGGGGGGCTAATGAGTCACTTTAAATTACCTCCAGTTTAATGAGCCCCTAAACAAAACCCCAAACACTAAATAACAGTGTTCACCCTGTATTCATGGAAAACCCTTTTAGTGTAAACTTAGACAACGTTTGTAGAAAATATATATCTATCTAAGTACTTTTGGCATGGCTGAATTACTGACTGGGCACATGCCCAGGGGCCCCCATTGATTTTGTTATAATGTTTGAGCATAAGAACACAGAATTAGCCATGACAAAATGCATAGAATTACAGGAAAGTATCTTTTACACTGCAACATTTTGCAAAATGAGTAGAATTGCAGAAAAATCTACATTAAAATAGCTAAATTTGCTCTCAGCTCCATGGAATAATTGAGAATTGAAGGAAAGTAGCCCCTTTAAGTTTTAAATTGAAAATGCCTGTTATCTTGCTAGCGAGCTCATGGTTAGCTAGTTAGCAACATTAGCCTGGCTAGATGGCTAGCCAATTAAATACATGAGAAATTCATAAAAACGAGTTTAGCTTTTATAAACCAACAGTCTAACTTGCTAGTTAACTAGCTAGCTAACAGATGGTGATGCTAGGGCTTGCCGTTCTTGATAATGTTTGTCTGTTGGTGAGGGATGGATAACCTACTTCAAGTACTACTTGATGGACTGATTAGCATCCTCAAGTCAAGTGTGCTTACTTTACTGCAGGAAAATATTGATAGGTTTGCTGTTACCCTCTGGACAGCAGATCATTAGTATAGCTAGTAGGCAAGGTTATGTAACCTTATTTAGTCCAACCTGCTATGGTGGGTTTTCAATTAATTGGTATTCACACGTTTGTTTGAGGTAGAATTGAGGGGGTATTGATAAATAACGCATGCTCCACTCAAGTTGATAGACTAATAAAATTCAATTTCAGGCAACACTAAGCACGGAACGACGCAGACGCCTTTTGGACATCTTTTTTCAGTGCAGTGCGGACCAGCCTTGATTTCCACATCCACTGGTTTTTGGTCCGGACTGGACCAAATCTGAAACAATCATAGACGTCTATGTTTGGTTCAGATTTTGTCTGGTCTGGACCAGCCTTGATTTGGCCCAAACAATTAAGTATTTTCAACTTACATTCAGAACCGAAAATGAACCGTTAAACTTAGAGAAAATACGTATTTTTCAATGTCCTGGAAAATATGTATTTTAAAATGTACGGAAAATGTATTTTTACCGTTCATTCAGAACCTAAATTGAACCTAACTTTAACGTCTGGAAAACACGTACAGTGCATTCGGAAAGTATTCAGACCCCTCTACCTTTTCCACATTGTTACATTACAGCCTTATTTTTTTCCTCAACACACACAACCCCATAATGACAAAGCGAAAACAGGTTTAGACATTTTATTTGGAAAGGCACACACCTGTCTATATAAAAAGGTCCCACACTTGACAGTACATGTCAGATCAAAAACCAAGCCATGAGGTTGAAGGAATTGTCTCTGGAGAGACCTGAAAAAAAGCTGTGCAGCGACGCTCCCCATCCAACCTGACAGAACTTGAGAGGATCTGCAGAGAAGAAAGGGAGAAACTCCCCAAATACAGGTGCGCCAAGCTTGAAGCGTCATACCCAAGAAGACTCGAGGCTGTAATCGCTGCCGAAGGTGCTTCAACAAAGTACTGAGTACTTATGTAAATGTGATCCGTTTTTTTATTTGTAATAAAATATGCAAACATTCCTAAAAACCTGTTTTTGCTTTGCCATTATGGGGTATTGTGTGTATATTGATGAGGGGAAAAACAATAACCCATTTTATAATAAGGCTGTAACGTAACAATGTAGATAAAGTCAAGGGGTCTGAATACTTTCCAAATGCACTGTATTTTAAACGTATTTTCAATGTCATTTTGCTTACTGGGACTATTCTAGTTTTGCGTGGGCCGCATTTGTTGGTCACACCTAGGGCGGCAGAATGGTAACGACCGGCCCTAGTCGGGTGAGTAGTATTGGTTAGGTACTGTATGTGCTTTTAGGTTCCTCCGCATGTGTAGGCCATTGTACTGGCCTGTGTGGTACGGCCTTTCATACACAAGTATGTGGACACCCCTTCAAATTAGTGGATTCAGCTATTTCAGCCACACCCATTGCTGACAGGTATAAAATAAGGCACACAGCCATGCAATCTCAATAGACAAACATTGGCAGTAGAATGGCTTTACTGAAGAGCTCAGTGACGTTCAACGTGGCACCGTCATAGGATGTCACCTTTCCAACAAGTCAGTCCGTAAAATTTCTGCCATGCTAGAGCTGCCCCAGTCAACTGTAAGTGCTGTTATTGTGAAGTGGAAACGTCTAGGAGCAACAACGGCTCAGCCGCGAAGTGGTAGGCCACACAGAACGAGACTGCCGATTGCTGAAGCGCGTAAAAATCATCTGTCCTCAGGAAGCAACGTCAGCACTGCATCTGGAAGCCAAACTGCGAACTGTTCATCGGGAGCTTCATGAAATGGTTTACCATGACCGAGAAGCCGCACACAAGCCTAAGATCACCATGCGCAATGCCAAGCGTCCATTGGACTCTGGAGCAGTGGAAAGCATGATTAATCACGCTTCACCATCTGGCAGTCCGACGGCCAAATCTGGGTTTGTCGGATGCCGGGAGAACACTACATGCCCCAATGCATAGTGCCAACTGTAAAGTTTGGTGGAGGAGGAATAATGGTCTGGGGCTGTTTTTCATGGTTCGGGCTAGGCCCCTTAGTTCCAGAGAAGGGAAATCTTAATGCAGCAGCATACAATGACATTCTAGATGATTCTGTGCTTCCAACTTTGCGGCAACAGTTTAGGGAAGGCCCTTTCCTGTTTCAGCATGACAATGCCCCCGTGCACAAAGCGAGGTACATACAGAAATGGTTTGTCGAGATCGGTGAGAAAGAACTTGACTGGCCTGCACAGAGCCCGGACATCAACCCCATCGAACGCCTTTGGGATGAATTGGAACGCAGACTGTGAGCCAGGCCTCATCGCCCAACATCAGTGCCTGACCTCTTGGCTGAAAGGAAGCAAGTACCCGCAGCAATGTTCCAACATCTAGTGGAAAGCCTAAGGGAGGGGGGGACCAACTCCATAATAATGCCCATGACTTTGGAATGAGATGTTTGACGAGCAGGTGTCCACATACTTTTGGTCATGTAGTATATGTGTAGTAGTTTGTTGCATCGTATTGCTTAGTTTATAATTTGTGTCGACTTTGAATTAAATCTAAGCCACAGATTGTTAACGTCCTCCATTTTGTAATTGACCGTTATAGATGCAGACCCAAAGACATTCAAGCAGCACTTTGAGAGCAAGCATCCCAAGTCTCCAATGTCCCAGTACTGGTTGATGTGCAGGCCTAAGTCACCATACACACTAATGGACCTACAGCTGGGGTAGGATTATTCCATCATTCACACACAGTAGACAGTGTAAACTTCCAAGATGGCATAGCAGTGCGGTCGTGTTTTCTGTAGTGTCCTCATGTAAATAGCCTGTTTTTTTTGTATACAGTGGGGAGAACAAGTATTTGATACACTGCCGATTTTGCAGGTTTTCCTACTTACAAAGCATGTAAAAGTCTGTAATTTTAATCATAGGTACACTTCAACTGTGAGAGACGGAATCTAAAACAATCCAGAAAATCACATTGTATGATTTTTAAGTAATTCATTTGCATGACATAAGTATTTGATACATCAGAAAAGCAGAACTTAATATTTGGTACAGAATCCTTTGTTTGCAATTACAGAGATCATACGTTTCCTGTAGGTCTTGACCAGGTTTGCACACACTGCAGCAGGGATTTTGGCCCACTCCTCCATACAGACCTTCTCCAGATCCTTCAGGTTTCGGGGCTGTCGCTGGGCAATACGGACTTTCAGCTCACTCCAAAGATTTTCTATTGGGTTCAGGTCTGGAGACTGGCTAGGCCACTCCAGGACCTTGAGATGCTTCTTACGGAGCCACTCCTTAGTTGCCCTGGCTGTGTGTTTCGGGTCGTTGTCATGCTGGAAGACCCAGCCACGACCCATCTTCAATGCTCTTACTGAGGGAAGGAGGTTGTTGGCCAAGATCTCACGATACATGGCCCCATCCATCCTCCCCTCAATACGGTGCAGTCGAAAAGCATCCCCAAAGAATGTTGTTTCCACCTCCATGCTTCACGGTTGGGATGGTGTTCTTGGGGTTGTTCTCATCCTCCTTCTTCCTCCAAACACGGCGAGTGGAGTTTAGACCAAAAAGCTCTATTTTTGTCTCATCAGACCACATGGCGTTCTCCCATTCCTCCTCTGGATCATCCAGATGGTCATTGGCAAACTTCAGACGGGCCTGGACATGCGCTGGCTTGAGCAGGGGGACCTTGCGTGTGCTGCAGGATTTTAATCCATGACGGCGTAGTGTGTTACTAATGGTTTTCTTTGAGACTGTGGTCCCAGCTCTCTTCAGGTCATTGACCAGGTCCTGCCATGTAGTTCTGGGCTGATCCCTCACCTTCCTCATGATCATTGATGCCCCACGAGGTGAGATCTTGCATGGAGCCCCAGACCGAGGGTGATTGACCGTCATCTTGAACTTCTTCCATGTTGTAATAATTGTGCCAACAGTTGTTGCCTTCTCACCAAGCTGCTTGCCTATTGTCCTGTAGCCCATCCCAGCCTTGTGCAGGTCTACAATTTTATCCCTGATGTCCTTACACAGCTCTCTGGTCTTGGCCATTGTGGAGAGGTTGGAGTCTGGTTGATTGAGTGTGTGGACAGGTGTCTTTTATACAGGTAACGAGTTCAAACAGGTGCAGTTAATACAGGTAATGAGTGGAGAACAGGAGGGCTTCTTAAAGAAAAACGAACAGGTCTGTGAGAGCCGGAATTCTTACTGGTTGGTAGGTGATCAAATACTTATGTCATGCAATAAAATGCAAATTAATTACTTAAAAATCATACAATGTG